TATCGATTATTTTGAAGACGTGTATACCTGTTAAAAAATCACTAAGAAATATATATATGTCGCGAAAAATGAGATATTTATAAGAAGATAATAACTTATAGTAAAATAATTGAACAAACAATACTAAATTTATACAGATTGAAAGTAAGTATTAAATGTTTGAAATGTGTAAAGTATATAAAAGATATGTCGGATTCGGAATTATATATCACCCTATATTTAATTTTGATGACCGTCTAATGTTAGCAAAATTTGTTTCCAAATGATTAATTATCTCTTTAGAAGTATCCCTGTTATTAAACCACCACAAAATATGTCATAATGATAACTCAAATATTTGATGATTTAATAACAGACACATTCTCAAAGAAATAATTAATAATTTGGAAACAAATTTTGCTTTTTGCTAACATTAGACGGTCTTTAATATTAAACGAATATAATTTCAAGCTCGCCGCTACGCGCTAGGCGACCGTGTGATTGGTGTGGCACGCTGTGGGGGGGGGGGGGCAGGGGAGGGGGCGAGGAATTATACGATCTGTCGGTTATACAGTCGGTATGTACATTTCAATATATATTCTTTCTAGAAGCTTCTGCATATGTTTCTTTAACCTTCTGGCAGCAATTTTGAAGAAAGCAAATACTTCTTCATGCGATACATTTAGTATGAAGTGATTCGTGGTACAGAATGGAGTCAACGCTAACGGCATTGGCAACTCTAATAAGTCTTTCACAAAGATTGCTGGAATTACTGAGAAGCTTTTGCAACGAATATCTTCAGTAAGTATTAAAAAAAGATCTCTTGTATATTCGTTAAAACGTGTCAATTTTATTCACCTTGTTTCGACAATTTCATAAACGATATGGCATATATATTACATTCGCCTCGTATATTTTTAAGGTGGTTTTTTTTTAATAAAGTGTCGAAAATTTGGAGTGCCTCAACAGAGCACATCCAAAATTATACAGATCTGTAAAATATTAAAACTACGTGTATATCTAATAAAATAGTATGAAACAAACGATATTGCTACCCCGCGCGATAATGAACGAGAATAGATAAGTTAAGGGTATACTGTAGATTGTTATAGCAAGGTAACGTTATGCAATATTTTCAACATTAAATATGTTTCCAGAATGGCTGGTGAGCTATTACTTTTTTTGAAACCATTAGAGTCGTAATTTTTTAAACTATTATAATCATTTTTTTAGAAAAAGTCTTAAATAACGTTTGTGTACAGATAGTCAAAAAAGTGTCTCGATCTGATTGTGAGCCCAATCTCACTAATTAAGTTAAACTAAATGAAAAGTTACAATTTCAACATTTTTTCCTCTTTCATCGATATCCTAGAATTTTGCACCCGTCAAGTTCGGCACTTCAATTTTATTATAAAAAAATTAGACATTTCTAAAAGAACTCGATTTATTAAAGAACCATCTTAATCAAAATTGGAAATTGTTATTATACATATAAGTGTTCTAATATTGTATACGGATTCTTGCACAAAAAAAACTTGTATTCGGTCTAGTTTCCTAACTGTTATTTCATCATATATACGTATAAGTATATTTATAATAAAATTATCATTTTATCATCAATTAATATATAATACATCTTGTAACATTTTTTACTAAAATTCTAAAAAAGTAGAGAATATTCGATATTAATAATTATGCAAATATAATGATCAAAATCTTAAATATTTAAGTTCTAATATATTATGTTTGAATATTCGCGGGTATGTAGCAGCGATTACGATGTATAGAGGACTGATAGGTGTAGAATCCATTGTGAAAAGATAGCTGGGATGAACTAAATAGAAAATTTTTTTATCTTTAATTTTTATAATTTTTGCAAAATTAATAACTGTAATATCTATTTAATCCACTCTATCTACCCAACAGAAATGTTATGCCTATTACCACACAAGATATATGTTCAATGCAATAACACACATATACACACCCAAAGTTACATTAGTATTCACATTCTTATAACATAATTAATATTTTATTGATTAAATCTGAAATATGATTAATATTTCTTATTAATACACATTTCATGCTGGTGACTTGGGTCGCTGGTTAACCGTTTATACAAAGAAAGAATTAATTCACTATTTAATAATATTATACGGATTTTTACAGTAAACGAACTTACGAAGGACAGAAGTATGAGGATCAACTACACTGCAAATCCAAGTGTGTATGTGTAAATTTTTACACATTTTATCTGTGTTTTACACAGTTAAATGCATATATTTTACACGCTTACACATATTATTGTAAAATTAAGCGTGTAAAAATATGCATTTAACTTTGTAAAACACAGATAAAATGTGTAAAAATATAAC